ATTAAAGTGAACCTCAATTCCGAATAGGACTGAAGTCGCTGATAGAAGAGGGAAGCATGAGGACACAACACACACAGAGGATGACCTGTGCTGAGGAGCACAGGGAGAAAACGTGTTCTACAGCCAAGGGAGAGACGGCCTCAGGGAAGGAACCAAGCCCTGCCCACACTTTGATCTCCAGACTCCAGCCCTCCAAGAATGTGGGAGAATCAATGTGTGTTGTTTTAAGCCACTCTAGTCTAGGTATTCTTTTTTTTAGACGGAGTCTTGCTCTGTTGTCCAGGCTGGAGTGCGAGTGGCGGCCATCTCAGCTCGACTGCAAGCTCCACTCCCGGGTTCACGCCATTCTCCTGCCTCAGCTCCCTGAGTAGCTGGGACTAAGGCACACCGCGACCAACGCGCCATGTTAATTTTTTGTATTTTTTTAGTAGAAACAGGGTTTCACCATGTTAGCCAGGATGGTCTCGATCTCCTGACCTCATGATCCGCCCACCTCAGCTTCCCAAAGTGCTGGGATTATAGGCGTGAGCCACCGCGCCCAGCCTGTGGTATTCTTTTATAGCAGCCTGAAATAGACTAAGACTTCTCATAATAAGAGGAGATGAGGACACAGACCCACATAGAGGGACGATCCTGTAAGGACACGGGGAGAAGATGGTATCTACAAGGACAGGAGAGAGGCCACAGGAGGAACCAGCCCTACCCACACCTTGATCTTGAACTTCCAGCCTTCAGGACTGTGAGAGAATAAGCTGATGTTATCTAAGCCAACCAGTCTGTGGACCTTTGTCATGGCAGCCTGAGAAAATACATACTTTATATGATTATTTGTATATGAAACTCCAAGAAGAGACACATCCATAGAGACAGAGGGTACATTTGTGGTTAACAGGGCATGGGGATAGGATGGGTAATGGGGGTCTTCTTTGGGGCGGTGAAAAATTCTACAACTACACAGAGGTGATGGTTGTCCAACACTGTGAATGTACTTACCACTGAATTGTTCACTTTAAAATGGTTAAAAGGTGATTTTTTTTTTTAAACAGAGTCTCCCTCTGTCACCCAGGCTGGAGTGCAGTGGTGGGATCATAGCTCACTGCAGCCTCAATCTCCCTGGCTCAGACAATCCTCCTGCTCCAGCCTCCCGAGTGGCTGAGACCACAGACGCACGCCACCATGTCCCAGTAGATTTTTTAAAATTTTTTTTCGTAGAGACAGGGTCTCCCTATGTTGCCCAGGCTGATCGCAAACTCCTGGGCTCAAGCAATCCCCCCACCTTGGCCTTCCAAAGTGCTGGGATTATAGGCTTGAGCCACCATGCCTGACCAAAAAAGGCCAATTTTTAAATGTAAATTTTGCACAATAATGAAAACGCCACCACCAACAGCTAGAAACTAAGGGAACTGGGATGTTAAGCGGTCTCCTGACATTTTGCAGTTTTCCCCGGGGACCTCTGCTATTCCTGCCAATAACATCAGACAATGACTTCTCTCCAGAAACCCTTCTCTACAATGGCAAAGACGTGACCACTGTGGCACGGGAGACTCCCACATACAGGGAAGGGGTCAGAGTCCAACTTTACCTCACTGAGTTATTACCGTAGCAGCACAAATCCCCCACTCCAAGGTCATCTGCCATCAGCAGGACGATGTTGGGTCTGGCGTTTCTTGTCATAAATGTGCCATCAACACCGCAAAACAAATAGCACAGGGACACTGACAGCCAGCAGCTCCTGAAAGCATTTTTAGAATAAGCAAACAAACAAGCAAGCAAAAAACCAGGCACTATCAATTAACATTTGCATTTTAGATAACTTAAAATATGAAATAGTGATATTCGTTATCAGGTCTCACTGTGCAATGTACCTGTGTTGGCTTACTCAGAAACTAGATTCAACAACAACAACAAGAAAAACTACTGTTCTACACCAGAGGTCCCCAATCCCCTGGCCATGGACCAGTACTGGTCCATAGCCTGTTCGGAACCAGGCCACACAGCAGGACGTGAGTGACGGGCAAATGAGTGAAGCTTCATCTGTATTGACAGCCACTCCCCATTGCTTGCATCGCTGCCCGAGCTCCGCCTCCTGTCAGATCAGCAGCAGCATTAGATTCTCATAGGAGCGAGAACTCTATTGTGAACTGTGCATGCAAGGGATCTAGATTGTGTGCGCTTTATGAGAATCTAATGCCTGATGATCTGTCTCTGTCTTCCACCATCCCCAGATGGGATCATCTAGTCACAGGAAAACAAGCTCAGGGCACCCACTGATCATACACTACTATGAGTTGTAGAATTATTTCATTATATATTATCATGTAATAATAATAAAAATAAAGTGCACAATAAATGTAATGTGCTTGAATCATCCTGAAACCATCCTGCACCCCCTTCCTGTCTGTAGAAAAACTGTCTTCCACAAAACCGGTCCCTGGTGCCAAAAATGTTGGAGACCATTGTTTTATATGAATATGGTATCAGATTTTACCAATTCATTTCGCAAGCATGATGAGGTTTAACTCTTATAACATATTTTGATATTGTTTTAGTGATATCAGAGGCTTAAAATTTATAACAGTGGTTACAGTTGAGGGTAAGGTCTAAAAATTTAATTTTGCTCAGTGCTGTGGCTCATGCCTGTAATCCCAGCACTTTGGAAGGCCAATGTAGGTGGATTGTTTGAGCCCAGAAGTTTGAGACTGGCCTGGGCAGCATAGTGAAACCCCATCTCTACAAACAATACAAAAATAGCTGGGCATAGTGATGCATTCCTATAGTCCCAGCTACTCAGGAGGCTGAGATGGGAGGATTGCTTGAGCCCAAGAGGTCAGGATTGCAGTGAGCTATGATTGTGCCACTGCACTCCAGCTGAGACAACAGAGCAAGACCCTGTCTCAAAAAAACTTCTTTATTTTATTACATAAAAATGTAACCAAGGCCGGGCACAGTGGCTCATGCCTGTAATCCCAGTGCTTTGGGAGGCCGAGGCAGGTGGGTCACCTGAGATCAGGAGTTTGAGAATAGCTTGACCAGCATGGTGAAACCCCAGCTCTACTAAAAATACAAAATTAACCAGGTATGGTGGCACGCACCTGTGGTCCCAGCTACTTGGGAGGCTGAGGCAGGAGAATCACTTGAACCCAGGAGGCAGAGGTTGCAGTGAGCTGAGACTGCACCACTGCACTCCAGCCTGGGCAACAAGAGTGAGACTCCACCTCAAAAAAAAAAAAAAAAAAGTGTATTGCTGTTTTATAGCCCTAAGAGCGCCAAAGGCAGAACTTTTTTATAGTCATTAGACTATATTCATAACTTGGTAAAGCTTGGATCATTAGAAGATTGTAATATTGCGCAGACAAACGTCCAGTAAGGAAGCCTGTAAAAGTTTCATTTCCTTTTTTTTTCTCATTATACTTTTTTCCCCACTGTGTCTAGTTTGTCCAATCTCCATCCTCCGAGATACGAGTAGATCCACCTTATCATCAGACACTCGGCATGGTCTCCGCTAGCCTTAAAGACATCAGGGGCCTCTTGAGAAGATCTTAGCACAAAGTTACCTGAATGGGTGGGTTGACCCGCAAGTTGGCAAATTGCCAACAGGCCTAAACCCTGTCCACTATATGCACAGAGATGGGC